ATGTAATAATTTAGACTAACAATATAAATTGTCCATACGGCCGGCTTATCCGCTATCAGGTGTGGCGGGGGGCAGCAGGAGAAAGACCCTGCACTCTCCCCAGAGACACTTTCCAGCTCATCCTGGGGGACTCCGAGACGTTCCCAGACCAGAGGGGTAAGTGTAAGTGTGTTCAATACTTTTTCCCTGTGCCATTCCACATTATTACAAATAACTTCATTTCTGGACATTTATGGTTTGATTTCTTTGTATGTATGGATCACTTGGGTTGTTACCAACATCTGGTGAAAATTTCATGTCTTTAGCACCTCTAGTAATATATTTACTGAGAAAAATGGTGACGTGTTCAATACTTATTTTACCCGCTGTATATACTCACGCATACATTGATTTTAGTAGAGGGTGATGTTGTGTTTTGCCCAACGGTAGAGATTGACTGATACAGGTTTTTGAAGGCCGATACCGATTTTTTTTATATCAGTCTAACCGATACGCCAATACGTGCAGCCGATGTTTTTTGGCCGATTCTTGAAGCGTATACAGCTTTTTTTTCCGACATTAACATGATAAAAATAAGAATGATAACAAATATTACACAAGTCCTAATTTTAAACCAAACAAACAAACAAAAATCATTTATTAACTAAGCCTTGTCTGGTGCAGGCTGTATCAAGTGCTGTCACACAGGATTTCTTCTTTCAGCCCTTTCTTAAATAAATAAATAAACAAATAAATTCATAACTTATTTTATCTAGTGCTAAATATTCTGTTTTCATTTGTATATTAATCAGATTAATATATTTTTTACATCAAATAAAATGACTATATTTTAATATCCCAGCATTTTTGATGCAAAAATAGCAACAGGCCTAAGAGGAACACAGAGAAAAAGGACACACACATACATCTTGCTATCTTTGTGAGGACTTCCCACACACCACACTCACTGCATCTCTGCCTCAGTCTGCACTCGTTTTTTACACCGGGCAAAAAAAATAAACATTCAAAGCAGCTGAGGCTAACTTTAGATCACAGTTTTAAATGTACACCAAAGAAAACCTGCATCACGACTTTTATACTGTGGTCAGAGCAAACGTGATCTGTGGGCGGAGTCAGCCTGGTTCACACACAGTGGTGGACGGCTGCGCTTGCTCTTATGAACAGCGAGACCGAAAGACCGAAAGCTTTTTTATTTTAATCCAGCAGGGAGAACAATAGATGTGTTTTTCTATGTGTCCTGTGAGCAGCTCCAGCATTTTTTAAAAGAAAAACAACGTGGACATGGTAATTACAGTGCGGTTTCAAAGGGAAAGTAAAAACATGGCGCTCCCGTCCGGAAAAGAAACAACACAGCTGTTCTCTCTCCCCTCATATTCCAACACAGAGGGTAGAAACAGCTAAAATAGACAGTTAAAACATATTTACAGTTCATAACTCACCCTATTGTTGTTAGCACTCTGTCTCACAACATTAGCAGCTGCTCTCTGCCCGAGGGAGGGGGCGGACACATGTGCTCGTGTGACCCAAAGAATGGATCGGCCGAACAGATGGACGTATTGGCCGATACCGATACAAGGAAAAAAATGCAAATATCGGCCAAAAATATCGGCCGGCTGATGTATCGGTCGACCCCAACCCAACGGCACTTCAGCACAGTGGAGACCAGGGTTCAAATCCCTGACCCTCCATGACCACCCTACCCATTAGTTTACTTTAATTAATATACAGAATTTCATTTCTAAAACATAATTAAATTAAACTTATTTTAAAGAATATATTGTCACAATTAGTGTCTGTGACACGTCTATGCTTCAAATACAAAAAGTCAAAGAAAGCATCTTTATACTTAAGGAAATTGACATAATACACATGATTTTACCCATTTTGTCACATAACCGGCCTATTTTCTTTTGAATTTGGCTCAGCCAAAGTGAAACAGGAAGTGACATCAAAGGGGAACTCATCAATATAGTAAACTTGCTGGTCTCTGTTTATTAAAACATTTTTTTAAACTTTAACTGTTCGTCTCTCTTTGATAGCGACTCAAAATAATCTAAAGAAACACCAAATTCGTCTCTACAGCCTGTGTTTTAGCTTTTTCTATGTGTTTACGTGCTGACATTCCCCTTTGACATCACTTCCTGTTTCTTCACATGTAAATATCTCGACAACCGTTCATCTCAGCGACGTGACATTTGTTTTTCAGTATGTTATCAATGTTATCTTTCCAGCAATGCATTCATGTTTATTACAAAAAATTGATGTCACAGACACTTTAAAGAGATTAAACAGATTTAAATGCTCCTAATGTTTCTTCTTTCAGACCTGTTTGCCACAAAGAAAAAAAAACTGAGGCAGAACTAATGAAGAGATCATGACACGAGGAGTTTTGTCACCAAAGTTTCTGTTTTTCAGGCTCTCCAGGCGGAGAAGAAAGAAGCTGAGGATGAGATGGGAAGGAAGGAGAAAGAGAAGGAGAAGGAAAAGAACGACGAGAAGGGGGAAGCAGTTCTTCTGGAGAAGGAAGAGGAGAAAGAAAAAGAGTCAGGTCCTGAAGAAGAGCCAAAGGAAGAAAAGCAGGAGAAGGCATCGGAGGAGGAGGTTAAAGCCCCCAGAGCTCCACGCCGACCTAAGACCCTGCAGATCACAGTCACGCTGCTGGACGACACGTTGTACGAGTGTGAACTGGACGTAAGAGCCTTCTCACAAAAACACTGAAAAATTCATGCAGCAACTGTAAATCAGTTCAGTTTATTTATAGAGCGTCATTTCACAAGAAAACACATCTCAGGACAAGAAATTACTGTCCCCAACCCTTCAAATCATGAATTATAATTCTTATTTTAGCAATAGATTAATCTATTGATTATTCTGTTGATTAATCATGTAATCAGATAAAAAATTGTCATGTTCTGCAGTAATTACTTAAGCTTAATTTATGACAAAAACAATTATTTAACATTGTAAAGAGGTAACTAAAACTACTACACCTGTGGTGTTTGAGACATGCAATTTAAGCTCCACTTGCTTGTATTTATGTGTGAGGTTTGGTGCTTTAATTAAAAGCTCTTTATTGAATCATTTTTTAATCATTATTGACAAAACTAAATGCTGTACATTATTTTTTATGAATTGGAAAACTGAATGTGGTCTTTTATGTTAGATATTTAGTAAATAAAATGGGTAATATAAAATGTGGGTGTTGCACATGTAGAGTTCACTTGTTACTGTTAAATTTAAAAGTAAATTCATATTTTATTAAGACTGTTATTAGGTTGGAGCAGGGTTTAGGCAGTAAAATATTTAGTCTTGACTGCTTAGCTATAGACAAATATAATAATACATGAAGGCTTATGAGAGGTTTCAAAGTCATGAAAAGCAGCAAAAAAGAAAAAAAATACTATTATAAATACTTTTAAACTTAAAATATTGACTCCAACTATCTCATTTAAGTTCAGATAGAAGCGTAGCAACAAATAAATGTTTCATCTCAAGCTGTCAGTCTGTTGCTGTGATTTTATCTTTATTTGACACACTTTGTGTTGTTTTTATCTCATAATTAAATACCACCCTGCAGGTATCATTAGCTATAATTCGTGACGTGTAACATGACAGATTATCAGATACAGTTAACTGTATTTTGCAAAGGGAACATAAACGATACCTGCTAACTCCAGGTTTCATAAATGCATCAGCTGTTTTCTGTCTGGTGCAGAGCATACACTGGGTTGTGTTTTCTGTTTAGTTTTAAATGTTCAAACGCTTTTCTGTTGTTTTCTAGTCACTTCATTTTGAGACTCTTCGCCTCCCTCCATAGCCCAAAATAATGCTTAGCAAACACGCATCAACAGAGTAACTGTTAGCGTAAGTGCTAACTTAGCGTTGTGTAACACAAACTTCCAGATGGACAAACGTGCGCTGATTAAAACATCTATTTTTAACAAAGCTTTGAGGCAGAGAATTTGAGGATTTTTAGTAAATTACTCTAATTATTCCAGGAATCGTTTCAGCCCTGTAATGATTCCTAATCAGATCCAGATTCATAAATACGCACATAATAAAAACTGGCTGTTAGTCTAAGGATGATGATGAGGGCCTGTACATCCTGTACGAAGGTCCCGCCTCCACGCCCTCATTAACAGGCTGTCACACTGTCAATCACTGTGAATATTTTAAACTTCTTCAACAAAGTTGTGGAAATTTCCATTGTTTCTTCTGTTCCCAAACCCTGAATGGAGTCTAGAGACGTGTAAACCTCAGGAACAGCTGAGTCTGACAGTGACAGACGGGAACATTTGCATTCACAAAGTCACTCTGTGGTCCTCATCGTTCTTCCTCTGGCTGCTGACGACTCAGTTTCTCCATCATTTTCTTCAAATAACTTCGCTGATCATCTCATTAATTTGTCTGCTAACACTGTCTGCTTCACAGCGTCCACTGCTCCAGGTGTCTTTTTTTCTCACTTCAGTAGAGAATGAAACCAAATATTAATTTATTTAGTTTATTTATTTCTTCATCATCAGTGACTTTTTTTTTAAGTGAAGAGAAAATAGAGACAGAGAGAAAAACAGAGAGAGAAGTAATTAGAAAGATAGAAAGATTGAAATAGCGATTAGAAGTATATTAAATATACACCAACAAAACACAGGACCACACACCCAACATCTGTCCGCTCACCTGAAAAATAAATGGATAAATACATGAAGGGCATATATAAATATATACACATACCCATACATATATAAAGATATACATACATACATGCCTACATTCATAAATATTGTCTGTATATACACACAGACATATATACACACTCAGTGACCTGTCAGAACCCCCCGGATCAGAACACCTGTTTGTGAGCAGTTGTGAACATGCGTGTATATACAAGATTTCTCCAATGGAATATTTAATAGTGACTGTGGAGGATCGGAGACCCAACCCCCAAGACACGAGGCAGACATAGGGAAGACCAGAGCCCAAGGGCCAGAGAGGGATCCCGAGCGCAGAGCCCCAAGGGGCACCTGCACGGGAAGATCCGCCCACCCACTCCCCCAGATCAGACCATAGGGGAGAACTGGGAGAGTCCCCCCAGCGACCACACYCACAGCCCCCGGGGCCAGCAGCGACAAGCTCATGGGCCCCACCGGCACCCGCCATACCAGAGCAGATCCAGGAAAGGGCACAGAGGTCCGGGCCCCCAGGGTGCACCCCCTCCAGGCCAAAGCCCCAGCAGGCAGTCACCAGGCCAGGCCACAAAGTCACTCTGTGGTCCTCATCGTTCTTCCTCTGGCTGCTGAAGACTCAGTTTCTCCATCATTTTCTTCAAATAACTTCGCTGATCATCTCATTAATGTGTCTGCTTCACAACGTCCACTGCTCCAGGTGTCTTGTGTGTAGGAGGCTTCTTTACCCTGGGTCACATGACCAGGATCATGTAGGCGTCACATCATTTGACTGAAACTAAACTGAATTTCAATAACGCACATGTGAACATTTAGATTAGACCTCTAGCATGACAGGCGGTGGAGCAGACTCTTTGTTGTTTTCTTGTTTTGTCTTCCTCAGATGATGAAGAGGAGTTTTTTTTCTTTTGTTTTTCATTATAGACAACAGTCTGAGTGTTCTTATCTGTTCTGTTTGTCAGAGAACTTTTCATTCTTTCTTTTGTCCTCTTCATGTTTGTTTTCACATTAGAAACACGCCAAGGGGCAGGAGTTGTTCATGAGCGTATGTGACCACCTCAACCTGCTGGAGAAAGATTATTATGGTCTGGCCATCTGGGAGACCCCCTCAATGAAGGTAAGTTTAACTCCTTTTATACATTTTCAGGTCAGGCCTCAGATGTTTTCTTCTTTCAGGAAGTAGTCAGACCCATTGATACAGGTTTTTTTTCAATACTTTACACTTTGTGCAGAAGTTAGCATCAGATAACCAGCATGATTTATTTATTTTATTTTTATTTTATTTACCGTTATTTTACCAGGCAAGTCTCGTTGAGATCTCAGTCTCTTTTTCAAGGGAGGCCTGGGCCTGAAGTCAGCCTATTGTACATGTTTTTGTGGGGGTGGGGGAAACCGGAGTACCCGGAGAAAACCCACGCAAGCACGAGGAGAACATGCAAACTCCGCACAGAAAGACCCCAGGTCCGAACCGGGGATTGAACCCAGGACCTTCTTGCTGCGGGGCGTCGGTGCTAACCACTGAGCCATCGTGCTACCTCATGTCATCATCCTGCGATAATTATCAACAATGGACGCTGCTAATATAATATTTAGATATGATAAATTTTAAAATCTAAATTCAAAATGTGCTCATAAAAAACAATATGAGTGGTTTGAAGTGCAGCTCAGACTCCAGCCTAAACTGTAAATTTGATGTCTTGTAGGGAAGCTTTAGCTGCATTGGAACTAGCTGCTGCTGTTGTCTCAGGATGATGACATCATAACATGAGCCAAGCACCAACAGCAAAGGCTGCGTTCCATTCCAAAATATGAACATTTTAAAGGCACAGTGTGTAGGATTTGTTGTTTTCAGCGACATCTAGTGGTTGAGTGGTTGAATCATCCTCCCTGGTCCTCCCCCCACC